ATCGCAATATAGTTTGTGCTACAGGCGCAATATATTGTACTCCACACTATGTATCAGGTATGTACAAATAGCGTTACGATTTTCGTATTATTCTTACCTACCTACAAATTCCATTTAGGAAAACTTACAATATGACAACCAATTTTTTAAAAGAATTATCTTATGATCTTATTGAACTTTTCAAATATAGTGACGATTATAATGTCATAATTAAAGTTGGTAAGGCACCCGAAAATTATTCCTTCAAAGCCCATTCCGCTATTTTAGAAAAACGATGTCCTTATCTTCATGAAGAATTGTCCAAAATGAATTTCAACAATCATGTTAAAGAAATAGAATTACCTGATGTTAACAAAGATGATTTCAGTTTTATAATTGAGTGAGTAAAAGGTTCACTGCAATTCACATCTATTTATTTTTCATGAGCTAATTAAGCTTCTACCTTAGATATATTTATTGCGGAATTGTGTTTTTAGAGAAATTAAATGGCCAAAACACTTTTGACTACATGATAACTGCTAGTCATTTTAAACTCGTGAATTTGGTTAAACATCTTGAGTCACATTTAATTAGTGTACATGCAAACTGGCTATCTTTGAATTTTTCTCGCGTCTATCAAATTAGTCTTCAAGTTGATAATTTCCAGAAATTACAAGATTTTTGTTTTAATTGTCCCGACAAAATATTTAACGCAGAAGATTTCACTTCTCTTCAAGAAGATGCAATGATTACTCTTCTTAAACACGATAATCTGCAGATGGAAGAAATTAAAATCTGGAATTATGTTGTTGAATGGGGGAAGGCTCAAGGCACCGATTTGAAAAATATTCTCAAAAATTGTATTCCGCATATTCGATTTTCTCAGATGTCAACCAATGATATTTTTGAAAAAGTTATCCTTTCTGACATTTTAGATTCTACGTTAGTGGTCAATATATTACGTGAGAAGATGAACGCAAATCATGTGACTAGTTCAATGAGCCGTTTTATGGAAACTTCAGGCGGTTCAAACATTAGGTACAAACCATTAGCATTTACATCATCTATTATTACTGAAGCCAACATCTCAGAAATTGCTTCATGGGTTGATAAATGTGCTGAGCCATATGACATTAATAATATTCCATATGAGTTTATTTTGATATTTCAAGGCTATGCAGATGGATATGATGCTTCTGCCCTCCTAAAACAATGTGAAAAAAAAGATAAAACAGTGATAGTATTGAGAGTTAAAGAGACAGGTGAAATACTTGGTGGATATAACCCATACGCATGGGAATGTCTACAATCTGCAGCTAAACGTATAAGGACAAGCGATAGTTTTATTTTTTCGCTGAAAAATGAAAATCTGGATAGTTCTATAATTAGTCGTGTTATTAACGCCGATAATGCATTTTATTATAATGGTAATAATGACCGTATAATCTTTGGAGGTGGTGATCTTGCTCTATTAAACAATTTACAAGAAAAAAGAAATTGTTGTATAAAGTGTAATTACGAAAAGCCTATCAGATCAACTGTTTCCAGTTTTAGCGTAGATGAAATTGAAGTATTTAAGCTTGATGAAAAACGTGGGATTCCTAGAGGTTGGAACCGGTTTTAAATTCAAAAACCGAATTGGATTTGCATGTATTGTGACGAATTATATTTTATTTTTCTATATTATTGTAAATAATTTCTTTATTTTCTCGGTAAATCATCCGAATTTACTTAGTTAATTAGTACCATCCATTCTGGTAACAATGTCCAATTTTAGTATAATGATTAATTTCTTTTGATTAATTCATAACTTATAAATGGTAATGATAAGTGGCTTAGTAGCATGGAAATCCGATGAATCACGTAAATACCGGTTGCACCAAGACTGTGCCTCGAGATCTTTCGGTGTCTACGTTGTTTTTACGGTGTATACACCTAAATTTCGGTGTAAACGTTGAAATTTCGGTGTCTACGTGGTGTCATTATCACCCTATTAATATTAAACCTTCGTTTCATAGTGTCATATTGCCTAATAGACCTCCGACAGTTATAAACGACACCCTTTGTTTCTCCAAGTTTATCATTATCTCCCCGTACACCGTTGGAGTTATATTGGCCCTTCATTCATATAATTTCATTAA